AGATGCTGGGATTCAACAACTCAATGAAAGGACATGAGATTTGCTCTCCTAAAGCCAGAGCAAGCTGTGAAGTATCAGAGAAAAATATAAAAGGCTTCTCAGGAGTGTATGACCAGAGCCTCTCTCCTTTCTGCGGCTTCAATTTAAGGAAGCAATGTCTCTACCTGGAGGACAAACAGGAAAAGCAACTGCCCAATAAAGCTCACTCTACATTTGTGCTCCTTGACTTGGCCTGCTCAGAAGACTCTTCCAGAAGCTTGACAGAGACCTGACAACTAAGCATCTCTTTCCTCAGAGGCATGGATTTAATTTGTCTGGGTGGACCTGTGCATGGCTTTTGCTTCTACAAAGCAGTCAGGACTGAGAGCCGTGGCCCTAGGTGGAGTTGTGGAGGGAGAGTCTACCGCCTCGGGCTGTTGTAGAGACAGTTACCAGAGAGGGACACCGGGTTAGAAGTGAAGAGATGTAAACCGGCTTCAGTTTACTGGATCAACACTTCCTCGGTAGGAAAATGATCTCATTCAACTAGGAAATTTCTACGTTTCATCCAACTTTGGTGTTGTCTGGTTCTAGGGTTGGTGTTCTTAACACCGGGAAAACCAAACCAAAATCACAAGGGCTGGGGCCTGTGATGGAGCATGTTTGTGAAGTGAACCCTTGGGATGCTGAGGTAGAAGAACAGAGTTGAAGGTTAGCCTGGACTACATATGGGCATCTTGTCTCAAACAACAAACAGAGAGCAACAAACAAACCAATGCAGAAATCTCCCAGATGCCTGGTGTCACCCACATCCATTGTATCTGTCTGCTCTGTGGGCAGAAGGTACATTGATAGCTTCCAAGGCTTCCCCAGGTGAGAGCAATGTGTAGCAAGAACTCGGATCACCTTTCGGTTTTACACCAGCACGTGAGTGTGCTCACGTGGTAGTTGTATGTGTGCGTACAAATGTGCTTGGGGCAGAATTCCTAAGTGAGAGGGTGGTGGGAATTCACACTTTGTCTCGGATTAATGCAGAAATGTGGAAGCAGTACAAACACATATGTCCATGTTGTCACAATTAATCCCTGCTGGTGGTTGTGTGCACACAGTCAAGGAGTCATGCCAAGTGTCTGGGACTCCAGCCCGGTTTTATCCCCTGTTGGCTTCATAGGAATCCAAGCAACAGGTAAGACTGATGGCGACAACAGCTTCACCGGGGAGAAATTGCTCCCAGTCCCTCCTCCCACAATATTCATAGGAGAGCACTTGCTCTTCACAATTCAGAGGTTGGCTTCCTCTAGTCTAGAGACCAAAGGCTGGGACCTGGGAGAATTTAAATGGCTTGTTCAGGACTCTCGACTAGGAGGCAGCAGCTACTGTATGTAGCCCAAACCTCTTAAGCTCCAGCCTTTTTTTCTTTAATTATATTGCTCCATGCACTCAGCATAGCCCCCTAGGTGACCAGGTAAGGATAAGACACTCACTCTGGGGGCTGGGATGATGAGCAGAGAGCTGCCATTGCTGAGTTTTCTTCAGCAGCGCACAAAATGTCAGAGCAGAGGGTGAAGGCTGGTGACCTCAGCAAGAGGAGGGCACAGGCTGAACACGAAGCCGAGGATCCAGAGTGGATGCTGGGTTGCATGTCCAGGCACGCGTGAAGCCCTGGACTCACTATCCAGTATTAGAATGTTTATAAATTTATAAATAGAATTTATAAAGAATTTATAAATAGAATACAGTATTTAGAATAAATAAGACTCCAAACTAGTCAGCTCTAGCCTGAACTGTCTCCTGAGCTGTCACGCCGGTCCCAGACAACACACCCTTCTTATTCTGGACTCTCTCTTAAGTCAGTGATACTATCTGCAAAATGATAATCTCCAGTGTAGCTGGATAGGAAAGCAAATGCGAGGAGATAAGGACTCTGCCCAGCTTAGAGAATCTCTACAGGAGGAAGTTTGCCATTGAGGCATAGCCTGATTCCTTGTTCATTAGGTCAGGTGATTCGGAGGGGGGCTAGCTCTGACATTCTTAAACACCCCGGTGCGGAAATCTAAGTTCAGACTGTTCCTCATGGAAAGAAAGCAACAGGGGAACGTTCTAGAGAGACTGCCAGAAAATCATTTCACGGGAACAAATTAAGTTTGGAAAACTATGAAAAAAACAAAATTAGGTTTTTAATGTTGTTAATGGGCAGCATGAAAGTGTGAGGCTTTTGCCAAAATAACGTGATTGTATCTATACTCTATTTGCCCTCTAGGACACAGATGGAAGTTTTGGCACAAGCCATAATAAGAAATTTCCAGAACGATATACTGAAAGTGGGTAAGCAGCGTGCCTCATTCCAAAATCTATGTCTTGCTCGCCATGCAGAGGGCTCAGATCCTAATGAGATTAGCAATCTGCAGAGGATACACTAGTGAGCATTTCCAACTCCTGAACAAAGTGCATTAGCCCGTTGGGCTACAGAAGAATCCTGAGGTTGCCCTCATAACAATACCTAAGAGTGTCTTTGTGAGATATTGAGACGTTGAGTTAAAACGTGATGAATAGGTTTAAGCTTTTCTGTGAATCCCTTGAAAACTAAGGCTGACTAGACTAATATACGAGTATTATTATTATTATTATTATTATTATTTTTTTTTTTTTGGTTTTTCGAGACAGGGTTTCTCTGTGGTTTTGGAGCCTGTCCTGGAACTAGCTCTTGTAGACCAGGCTGGTCTCGAACTCAGAGATCCACCTGCCTCTGCCTCCCGAGTGCTGGGATTAAAGGCGTGCGCCACCACCGCCCGGCTACGAGTATTATTTTATCCCCTGGGCCCCTTTTCCTCCCCAGCCTTTTATCCTTCAAAGTAACCCTGAAAACAAGAAAGTGAGAGGCGAGTATCAAGTTGTTGATCGTGCCATTGCATTTAGGATACTGGGGACCTTTTAGTAAGACCACAATGAATGAGGCCATTTGATAGTAACTAAGTGGCCCATTTCTCGTGCCTAATATCTTTAGATAAAGTTGGCTAACTATGTGGATCTCTAAAGTTCAGAGAAGTTTATAATTAAAAAGAAATTACCCAAGCCGGGTGGTGGTGGCGCATGCCTTTAATCCCAGCACTCGGGAGGCAGAGGCAGGTGGATCTCTGTGAGTTCGAGGCCAGCCTGGTCTACAAGAGTTAGTTCCAGGACAGGAACCAAAAGCTACGAAGAAACCCTGTCTTGAAAATAAAAACAACAAAAAAAAAAAAAAAAAAGAAATTACCCATAGGATTTCCCAGAACGTGGAAGGGAGAGACAGTTTGAAGCCAGTCTGGTCTACAGAACTAGTTCCAGGACAGCCAAACCCTGGCTTGAAAATACCAAAATACAAAAAAACAAAAAATACAAACTAACAAAAAACCCCTTTCTTTAGTTAAGGTAATTTATCTTGGAGGGCAGCAAGTGCCCTTTGTTTATTTGTTTAGGTTTATTTCTGTTACCTTTAATTATGTGCGTATATATGAGTCTGTGTGTGCGCACGTGCACCTGAGTGCAGGCATCTTACTTAGGAGGCCCTTGGAACTGCCCAGTACGGGTGCTGGAAACTGAATTTGGGTCTTCTGAAAGAACAGTTTGTACCCTTAATTGCCAAGTCATTTCTCCAACCCGTTGTTCTGTGTTTTCTTAATTAGATAATTCCTCTGAGATACTAGATTTGTCATCAAACTAGCCACCTGTCTGTAAGATGGAGATTCCCGTGGCTACAGACAAGAAAGATGCGCAAGTTCCAGTCAGTAGACACACACAAACATCACACATTGAGCCTGCAGGAGCCAGAAGTCTAGGGACAGTTGTATCCGTCCTTCTCATCCTTCAAACACCCTTCCTTCCTTCCTTCCTTCCTTCCTCCCTCCCTCCCTTCCTTTCTTCCTCCCTCCCTCCCTTCCTTCTTTCCTCCCTCCCTTCTCCTTTCCTTCCTTTCTCTCTCTTTTTTTTTCTTTTGCCATTCCACTGGAACATGGAATTTTCCTTTAGCCTGTATAGATTTCTTTTTATTTGGCACAGTTTCCAACCAAAGAGTTTTTAAAATTATTGGTGGCCTCATGTCCCTACTTCTTCTTCTTCTTCTTCTTCTTCTTCTTCTTCTTCTTCTTCTTCTACTTCTTCTTCTTCTTCTTCTTGCTTTCTCTATGTCTTTCATTTCCAAGAAATGAAAATTTTCAGGCCATGAATCCCTGGTTGGCCTGGAATTCCTGTAGACTAGGTTGGCTTGGAACTCACAGAGATGCACCTGCTTCTGTCTCCAGAGTGATGAGATTAAAGGTGTGCACCACTATGCCCAGCCCAATTTTCTTTTATGTAGTGTTAATTCATTGAATAGAGTTTTCATTTCTCACTGATAACAGATGTTATGCTGGCCACGATTAAATTTCATAATCACAATTGATATCGAAAAGTTTGTGAGCACTGGGTGGTAGTGGTGCACGCTTTTAATCTTAACATTTGAGAGGCAGAGACAGGTGGATCTCAGTGGATTCAAGGCCAGCCTGGTTTACAAAGCAAATTCCAGGACATCCAGGGCTGTTTTACAAAGAAACACTGTCTCAAAAGACCATGTTTTTTCTTTTTTGTGAGTTAAAAGTGAACATATAGACTGCTTTTCTTTCCCAATTTTGGTACAGATCCCATCATGCACCCTGGTTAGATGACTTCTTGCTTTTGTTTAGGACAGAAAGGTCCCATCATGTCACTGCTCAGCAGTCGTCTCCATCTTGAGTATGTGATCTTTAGAACACAGCTAGATGGCCCACTCTGATGGTGCCGGTGCCCTTTGGCACAGAAATACCTCTGAGAGCCATCTTTGTTAACCAGAGGGGCCTGGGTAGCGATGAGAAGGCTAGGCATGGCTAGTCGACAGTCCTGGAGGGGCAGAGCTGTCACTGCGTTTGCCCTCATCACCCCATGGAAACCTTAGGGATACACAGATGTCCAAAACTTGTTTATCTTAGAGGGAGCCCAGGAGGGGTGGAGAAAAGAGCCGCTACACTCACCTGCCCCGGCTGCTCACACGCTGTCTGGTATCTGGCCTGCTGGCACAGTTCCTTGACCCTCTCATATTTGGGCAAGTGGTTTGACTGTTGGATATTCTTGCTGGCTTCCTCTTTCTTTCGTAAAAATTTCCTTTGACAGAAAGAAGAAAGCATCTTACTGGAGAAGCACTCGGTCACCTTCCCAATTCTCTCACGTCCTCCTTCCCCTGTCAGCAGCTCCTCATTCCTTCAGACAGGTGGGTGCAGATACTGCTGCCCTCTGAGGGAGCCCAACAGACAAGTGGGGTCCTATGAAGATGCAGAGGAACCACCACTCTCTCGGAAAGCGTTGTTTCCAAACATAGCCCTAGACAAACACTCAGGGTTTGCTGGCTGGCCTGTGGTGGCGCACACCTTTAATCCCAGCACTCGGGAGGCGGAGGCAGGCAGATCTCTGTGAGTTCCATGCCAGCCTGGTCTACAAGAGCTGGTTCCAGGTTAGCCAGGGCTGCACAGAAAAACCCTGTCTCAAAAAAGAAAAACAGACCAAACGAAACCTTCCAACCAAACAAAAACCCTCCAGGTTCTCTTTGTAAATAAATAACTGTATTAATGCTTCTCTCTCTCTCTCTCTCTCTCAAATTTACACAAAGAGAAAAACATAGCAATGTATATCACAAAACAGATACCCCAGAAGTAACTATGGAAACAATTACAGTGGCAATAATACATAGAAGTTAATAGAAATGTATATAAGTCAATAGTTCCTTATGAAAAGAAGATAAGGAAAAAGACATATGGAGTAGGATGCAGGGAAGGCTGACTGACTGAGGACTGCGGCAGACAGTCAGTTGACTTGCTAAGAATCCAGGCTGAGAAGTGCCACCATGAATCTATACCCACGGAGAGGTTGCAATCCACCTTAGGGCAATTTGCTCGTTAGGGTTCTCCTGTAGTGATTGTGCCTGCTGACTGGCAGGGAATAGACAGTTATTCAGACTATGGGGCTAGGGCCAATGCTCAGCAGGCTAGTGCTCGCTGAGTGTGACTGACAGCTGGGTTTGCTCTCCAGAACCTATGACAAGAGAGAACCGACTCTTGAAACTTGGCCTTTGGTCTTTCTGAACGTGCCATGCATGGGTAACATGGGCGCGCACACAAATGCACATGTACGTGCACATACTCACTTATAAATAAAGTAAAATAGGGAAGTCAAACTCGCAACTGGGTCTGTGAAATCTGCATGCTTAGCAAACCAAAATGAGAAGGGGAAACATGCCCAGCAGAAAGAGCTGCCCACTAGAACCGGTTCCCAGAAGCACCCCAGGAACCAATAATTACCCTCTTTCCACTAGGAATGTATCACGCCAAATCTTGGCCTTTTTGTTTGTTCGAAACCTGAAAGCAAAATAATATTTACTGTTAGCATCTGGATGTTTTCCCAAGTGGATCTGTGCTAACAGTTTATTTAAAGAAACGCCTCCCACTTCCCACAGACCATGACTGCATTGGCATCAATGCGCAACTCACAAACAGCTGAGAAGGGCTGAGTCTGTAGGAATCCTCATGGGCAAAACTTGTTTTACCTCCATGGTTTTCAGCACTGCCTGGCTTTGGGTACCAGCGGGAACTTGGTGTGCTTGGGGGCTGGCTGGGAGGAGACATGCAGACACACCTGTTACCTGGCTTCTCCAGGTCTAGAAGTTTGAGGACAGACTTGCCATCCACGTCAGGAGGAGTGTCAAGCCCTGCGATATCCAGGATGGTAGGGGCGAGATCGATGTTTAGAACAATCTGTGGGACTCTGGAAAGAGACAGATGGTTCCAGGCTAGATCTAAAGCAGGTGGCAGAAGGCGACAGAGATGGATTTTTCACAGCCTTGGCTCATCGATCTTTGAGCCTCCTCTCCCTCTCATCTGTTCCCCAAGGGAGGGATGAGTGGTAGGGCAGCAACGGCACTGTGGGTTTTCAAGTGGGTCTGAAGAGATGTCCCCTAACCATTGTGTCTCGAATACACAGCCAGGCAAGATGTGTATTGGTACCTGGTGCTTTTAATTCTTTCATTATTAATTTTTTCAATTTTTTATTTTGTATTATTTTATGTGCATTGCTGCTTTGCCTCCCTGCAGGTCTGTTTGAAGGTGGAAGTAGAATCACAGACAGCTGTCAGCTGTCATGCGGGTGCCGGGAATTGAACCGGCGTCCTTTGGAAGAGCAGCCAGTCTCTTAACCTCTAAGCCGTCTCTCTAGCCCCTCATTATTTTTAATTATGTGTGGGTGTGTGTGCATGTGGGTGTGTGCACGTGAGGTGCCTACAGATGCCAGAGGTGTTGATTCTGTGGAGCTGGAGTCCCAGGCAGTTATGGGCTGTCTGATGTGGGTGCTGGCAACTGAAGTGGGCTTCTCTACAAGAACAGTGAAAGCTCTTAACTATGGAACCATCTTTCCAACGCCATGGCATGTGTGTGTGTTTGTGTGTGTGTGTCTCTGTGTGTGTGAAGATATGCTTCTTCTAAAACGTGATATTCCAGAACTCCCCTTGAATTAAGCTGTGAAGTAAATATTGTAAGAAACTGCACAGTTTTTAGTTTGCCTTATGACTGAGACCTTAAATGTACAAAGCTAACTACAGATGACTATACCTAGATGGTTTCTAAGGAATTTTCAAAATTAATTTTAAGTTAGCATACAAAGAAATGAATCTCATTATGACATTTTGATATTACATTCCTGATTTCCCTACCCTTACCCCTTTTTGCTCTTGTTGGCATTCAAATAGTCTCTTTTGTTTGCCTTCATGTAACATATATTCCATTCTCTCTTTCCCTGTAGTGATCTTGTTTTTGTTTGTTTGTTTGCTTGCTTTGTTGTTTGTTTTTTTGAGCCAGGGTTTCTCTGTGTAGCTCTGGCTGTCCTGGAACTAACTCTGTAGACCAGGCTGACCTTGAACTCACAGAGGTTTGCCTGCCTCTGACTCCCAAGTGCTGGGATAAAGGACTGCACCACCACCACCAGGCTTGTCTTTTGGTTTTGATGATGTTGTTATACTATTTTTACCCCCACAGCCAAGCACTAGGTAGAGCTGGGGAACCATGAAGAAGAAGGGGAGGAAGGATTGTAGGAACCAGAGGAGTCAGGACACCAAGAGAACATGGTCCACAGAATCAACTAAGCCCGGCTCATAGGGCTCACAGTGACAAACACTGTGCCTGCACGGGTCTGAACCAGCCCCTCTGTTTATACCTTATGGTTGTGTAGCTGAGTGTTCTCGTGGAACTCAGAGCAGTGGGAGTGTGGGGCTATCTCTGACTTTTTATTTTGCCTGCTCTTGGGACCCTTTTTCTCCTACTGGTTGTCTCATACAACCTTGATATGAAGTTTTGCACCTAATCTTATTGCATCTTGTTATGTGGTTTTGGATGATAGCCCTTGGAGGCCTGCTTTTTTTCTGAAAGGTAATGGAGAAGCAGTAAATGTGGGGTAGAAGGGAAGGGGCATGCTGGGAAGACTGGAGGGAGGAGACACTTTGGTCAGAATGCATTGTATAAGAAAAGAATAGATAAATAGGAAAAAAAAGATGGAAAAAACTATCAGGAAGGTTCTCTCTGCCCGCATAGCTTCTTGGTTTTGCCTGAGTCCATGGGTAGACACTGTTTGGAATTCTAATTCCAATTTTGTCTTTTGCCACTTCCATTATTCTCCATATACATGATCTCAGTTTACTAAAAAGCAAGTTAATATGGTAGGCAAGGGGCATGGGCACCTGTGTCTGTGAGAACATCAGCAGAGAATGGGATACAGGGCTGTCTCAGTGACGGAAACAACTCATTTAAGTCTCTTTTCTCTTAAAATAAAACCAGGCATTTAGACTCTGGATTAAAATCTAGGAAGATGACATTGGGCTTTATAAAAAGTGACAGTGAATCTCTGATTCAAAGAGGGACAGTGTTCTCTACGAGCACACACTGGCCATATACACAGGGCAAATGGAAACGGCCATTTCTCAGCTTGAGAGAATCAGTCACTGATAGTTTAAATAGTATAGTTGAATTACTAGGTGGCAGGGAAGGTACATTGCCAACCCCTATGTCTTCCTTCTTTAGTTCTGGATGGAAAGAAACCAGACACTGAGATTAGGATCTGAATTATCTTAGATGCTTCAGAGAAATACGTACATGGACCCTGGTTCTATGCTTGGCCCACGAATAAAGAAAGGCACACGGATGTCAAAGTCATACGGCATGGATTTCCCCTTGACCAGTCCGAACTGTCCGATGTGGTACCCGTGGTCGGCCGTGTAGATGATGTAGGTGTTGTCCAGCTCTCCCGTCTCCACCAGCATGTTGTACAGCTGCAGCAGAGCACAGGACAAGTCAGACCCAAGTGTTGCATGGGCGGTGACATGCCACAGCCTTGCCTCAGCTTCCCCCAAGGGACCCGGCTAGTGTTGAAGTCACAGTGCACAGCCAAAAGCCAAAAAACATATCATACTTAATTTCCATTTTTCTACTGCCAAGGTTGACTGGAGTTGATTGGCTGCTGTTTGCATTAGGGAGGGGCCTTGATTTTACTCTCACCTCAACCATCGCCAGTCTCTACTGCGTTATATTAAATCTGCCTTACTCACTGAGATGATTTGTTTAATTTTTGAAAGCTTTTAAGAGTTTTATGGACCTTGATTTATAATATTTTGATTTTTCAATCCTTTGTTACTGACGCCTTAAGAAGCAGACTCAAAGAAACGGGACAAGGGGGCAGGGATGAGGATGTTGCTAGACACACATGTTTCTCTCCCTTCACACAATATTAAGAAACAAAAGCTGGAGTGACTAGACGAATCTATGGGAGGAAGTTAGATGAAAACCTGTCGCTGAGGGGGAGGTGGGCTTACCCTCTCTACGGAGCCGTCCACTGACATCAGGGAGTTAGATGAAAACCTGTCGCTGAGGGGGGGAGGTGGCCTTACCCTCTCTACGGAGTCGTCCACTGACATCAGGGTCTGCAGTCGTTTGCGCTGGAGGACGTTGGTGAACTCCATGTGGATGGGCAGCATGGGGCCTGTGTACTGCATGATCCAGTGTTTGTCCATGTTCGGTGCATAGTTATAGCTTGGAGTTCTAAAAACACGCAGAAAGCAATCTTGTCATTAACACATTTTTACAAAAGCTTAGCCATTTGGGGAAGCATTTCAAGCTAAAGGTTGTAAAAATAATCACTTCTGAGAGATAATTTAGTCACAGCTAAAGTATTTTTCTCTCAAACATCATGAGATCTCTTTGAGTTCTGAGACTGTAGCCTTCACCATCCCAAGCAGTAAACATCCTATGTAGGGATGTAAATTCAAGCTGATAATACTCTGACTGAACATGAGATTAATGCAAGCTCAGCTGGGTTCCTTGAATAAAATGTTTGAGCGATACATGGTGATGAGGATGGTTGTTTCAGGTTTACAGATAAAATGGAAACGCAGAAAGGAATGTTCTTGCTAGCTCGTGAAATGTTTATTGCTAATGAGCCTAATAGATAAAGTCACCAGCAAGCTATGTAGGTTGATGCTGACTTACAATTCAACACATTAATCTTTAAGATAATCTTATCTTCCACTCATACATCTTCAAGAGATGTGCTTGTTCTTCATGTTGTATATTAAAACTGTTAATTCAGTTATATTTGCTGGAACTATAGCCAAGACTATGTCTTCAATTTACACATTTATCAATAAAATACTTGCTTCGTAGAGAAATCAGTAGGGGTAGAAGGGCACAAGGGTTTTGTTAACTATAGAGAAGTGGGTCCTTTTGCTGTAGAATAGTCCTGTTCACACCTATATACAATGTCTTGCAGAGATCAGTGGCATCAGTTACACAGCCCTGGGCACTCAAAATGATTGTTGAAGTCTTCCTTGATTCCCTTAGATGCTACCGTCTCAGGCATCTGAAGCACAGGCCTGTTAGCAAGATTCTCTTGTGTTTGTTTGGTTCTGTTTTTGTTTTTCCCAGACAAGGTTTCCCTGTGTATCCCTGACTGTCCTGGAACCCACTTTGTAGACCAGGCTGGCCTTGAACTCAAAGATCCACCTGCCTCTGCCTTCCGAGCATTGTGGATAAGGTAGTGTGCCACCACTGCCTAGCGTTAGCAAGATTCTTATACCGAGACACTATTACTCATTCGTTCAAACCTGTTCTTCACAGGCTATTAAAGCTCACAGAAGGTGGACTTACTGTAAAGTATTACGCAAATTATTATTTTTTTACGCAAATTATTATATATATATTTTAACTAATTTGATTGTCTCAGTTCGTTTGGTTAACAGGTTTACTATCCTTAATCATCTACTACTATTTTATAGATGAGGAAACCAAGGAGGGCAAATAATTTGAAAAGTTTAGCAAAGATAGTGGAAGCAAGTCTGGATTTTCGTAGTTCACATACTTCAACAACATGAGCAAAGGGGTGAGCAAGGGTGACCCTTGGTCTTAGAGAGTTTTTAAGCACAGATTTCCATACAGCCAGTGGCACAGAGAAAGCCACCATCCGTATTGAATGGGGGATCCGTTTCCTGCCTCTGTTTTGGGGGTAGAAGTCTACAGTTGAAAGACTGTAGACAAGGAAGTCTGAAGTGGAGTCTGGAAACAGTCTCTGCGAGCCTGGTGATTTCAGGAGACCTCAGCAAGTACCACGCTGAACTAGAAACACTAGGAATCTCCCACAGGACACTAGCGTGGTGGTACTTGGGGATGCTCTTGTGCACACCGAGCCACAGAAAGGCCACCTGTCTTTCACATTTTCTCCTGCCAGGAGGGTCGCAGAGCCCATTCACACTGTTGAAAGTCTGACGTGAGAGCAAGCATCATGCTCCCTAATCAGACTCTGAAGACACCGTCCCCAAAGTACTAACGATGAGTAGAGAACATGAGTTCCTACGAAGGGGACAAGACAGCCTAAGAGTGAAAGGGAACAGTCAGCTTGCACATCTGTGAACAGCTGAGGGGCATTCCTCTAAGCCTGGAGAACAGAGCTTATGAGTTTCCTCCACAGGTCAGTAAGCACATTCTTTTCATGTAAATGTCTGGCTTGAAACAATCCTCTGATATTAAATGGCAGATTCTCTGAGCTCTATCCATCATCCTTTTCAAGGGAAATTTTCATCCTTTCTTTCCTTTCCCTTTCTGAGACTCTGTCAAAAAGAAACTTTCTATCGTAACAGTGTTTCCTCCAGACGATTCTGGAACCAACTGGTCCAGAGTTTTGACCTGGAAGGAGTCCTCCTTTCTAGAAATGGGTCACAGTGGGCACCGGCAAGGACTGAAGTCTGCCTTTCTCATTGTCTATGCAGCAGGTCGCGTTACAAACAGGATTAGACTTAGAAGCTGAGAAGGGCAGAGGGGCTTTAAAATCCCCATGCAAGGGTTTTGCACCCATGGGAGGGGGCGGGTTTGAGGTCAGAGAAAGACAGCGCATTGGTCATGAAAGGTCTCCTAGCCATTTACCCATTGTGGTCCGAAAGGGAATACAGCTGTAAGAGATTACACAGGGGTTCTGTATAATACGCATCGTCCCCTCACTGCCTTTGAAGTTAGGTCGGCTTAATTTAAAAATAAATCTAGTTCACTTTTTTTTTAAACCACAAAACCTCAACGCAAATAAAAATTACAATAGGGAACCGGCATGCAGCCTCACAGTGGGCAAATTACATCTTCCACCAGCTACCTTGATGTGCTCCGGGAAGCCCCACCTCACTTTGAGGAGCTGGGAAGCTTGCAGCAAATTACAAGCCTCAAATTGGACTCCCGGATTTACCGAATGACATATGTTAAATCTGGCTTATATTAAAAGGGAGAGTTCAGGGCCTGTTGTCAAAGCTGTCCACCCCTCTCCCTGTAGTTTTCTGACTTTCTCAATATGGGAGCTGACCTCTAGCTTGGAGGATGACATTCCAGGTGGGATCCCAGCGGGTAGCGGGGATCTGGGGCACACATTTGCTTTTTAAAGGAAGGCAGACAGCCACTGCTCCCCGCAGCCCTCCAGAACAACAGCTGTTCAGGGACCTGCAGGTGGAGGGTCCGGATTGCTGGAACTGACAACATTGTGGAAAAGCCATCTTTTGCCAAAGACTGTGGTTGCCCCCTGCTGAGGTCTGCCAAATTCCTTGAAGAAGCAGCCTTCTGTCCCCCCAGTGATAATTAAGGCTTGCTTGCCTAAGGACTGACTTCAACTTACTCAAAGAGGGCCGGGCCGGGAGCTGTCACAGGGACAGCTTCACTAACAGAAGTGGAGAACTCTTTAAAACGAGAAAACTGTGTCTTTAGTTGTCTGTAAAGCTTGGGATTCGGATCTAATTCTTTGTTCCAATTCTGCAATGTGCTACTATATGATTCTGGACAGTTCTTTTTTTTTGGGGGGGGGGGTGATACCTCAGGTTCTTCATTTATACAATGGGAATAATAGCTTTGCAGAACTTATTATGGGCTTGACAGATTTTTGGGACTGTTGAGTACCGCTTCTGGGGTCCCATTCTACTCTCGCCTACAGGTAGCCAGGCTAGTTCACTAGGGGGTCCTGCTTTACTTGGGCAAAGGAGAAAGGCAAGTAAAGCTCAGACTAGTAGTAGCTCAAGGCCTCTGTTCTATCTGACTGTCACATTGTCACACTGACCCAAACTCCCAAGCACAGAGGTCCCAAACCCCAGCTGTCATAAGATCAGGCTGGCAAAGTTTTCCCTATTAAAAGGGAATCCTTCCAGTTTAGCCTTTTACCCAATTTAAAGTGTTCTGTTTCCTGCTAAGGAACTTCCCACCCATCTGCCTATCAATTTAAGCTGCAAACACAGAGAAACACCCTAGGAAGCCCATTGGATGGATCAGAGAAAAGTGTGCAATACTGATTATCTCTTTAAAGTCAAGAGGACAAAGGGTCAGATCACCATTTTTGAGTTTCTGATCCTTCAAATCAAGACAAAAAACAAGCCCGGAATCTATTTCAGAGGCGCCACTGTCTCAGATGGCCAGGCTGGTGAAAATTTCTGCCTGTGAAATGAGAGTTTCAAGAAGGTACATCTGTGGATCTCAGAAACACATCTGTAGCTTCCCACAGGCTATTCCTGGCTATATTTGCCTGAAGAGGACTCCCTGCCCTGCATGCTGTTTTCCCCTGATCTTGCTTTTTTGGGTTTCTAGCTCGGGACAGCATCACCTGCTTGGCCGCACACAAGTTCAGTCTGCCAATTTTCCTTGGGGTTTGAGTCACTTGCCAGTGTCACTGGCTGACAAAAGTAGGACAAAGGGTTCTGAAAAATCAGCGATGCCACCTTTCTCTTTGGTGGGCAGGTATTTTAAAAAGAATGATTCTTAGTAGCCAACAAATGGCTTCAAGAAATACATGTGTTGTATATTAAATCCATATTGGGGAATTGCGAACCGCGTGGTTCCTTTTGAATATTGATGGCCCGTGTCGTCGGTCCGGTGAAAACATCTTTCTTTTGTTGATGTGTTGAACATCTGTTTTCTTTATTTGTTTTCTAGTCGCAAACATCAAGAAAAAGGTCACTGACAGAAGTGGCAGGTCAGGTCCCACTGTTCAGGGCTGCCCGCTCTACAGAAGTGACAAGTCCGTCCCAATGTTCAACGCAGCCCGCTCTGCAGGCTTAGGACACACTTGCAGCATCGCATTGTAAACTCTATACCCACTCTCCCAAGCCATGTCATCTTCAATTTCATTAAAATTGAATCTACTTAATTGACTTTCTGGAGATATGCCCCACCTGACTTCAGATATCTGTAGGCAGATAACATTAGAACACATGCAGAGTAAGACCAAATGATCTTGACTGTAGGCATACAATAAAAATAGAGACTCGTTTAATGATGCTGGAAATGCCAATTGGAATTATGCAAATATGTGAGATCCACTCTGATGTTCACTGTGGCTGTGACGCAAACGGTGATATGGCCTGGTATAGTGGGAAGGGCAAATGGGACAAGGAAAACTGGCACCTAACTCCAGCTTTGCCCCAAACCCTTCCTGTGTCCTGAACAAAGCCACTTAGGCTTCCATTCAAGTGAACACATGGAACTTCATTTTATTTTAATTAAAAAAATTATGGAACCAAGAGACTTGCTAGATGCTCTTTGAACTCTTGATGAATCCTAGTGCTATCTTAAAAATATTTTCATGTCAGCTAGCTGGTGAGGTCAACGTTATTCATTTGGTAAACGGAATTTAATTTTACAACTAAATGAGGAGCCAAGCTCCTAGCCCTAGGAGCTAAGGGGGGGGGAGGTAAGGAAGGGGGGAGGGAGGGAGGGGGAGAGAGAGAGAGAGAGAGAGAGAGAGAGAGAGAGAGAGAGAGTTGGGGCAAAGCTGCTGAGGCAGGATCCATAGCGTGTCCCAGGTGGCTGTGCTCCTCTGGAGTCATGCCCCTACGCTCAGGAGTTTGGGCATACAGGGGTTCATCATAATGTGGAAAGAACAGTGTAGGTTTATAGAAAAGGAAACAAGTCTGCCCTAATTGGAAATTTATATGGAGCATTGAAAAATTTTCATCTTCATAAGTATAACTTTTAATATTTTTTGTAAAAGGTATAAAAATACAAATTCTTGTTAAGTCAAGACATTTTATAAAGATTCGTTGTATTTTTAAGCTGTGCATTTGTGATTGTGTGTGGTATGTGCCCATGACTGCAGGTGCCCTCGTCAGAGGCCCGGAGGGAAACTGAGTGCCCTGGATCTGGAGTTACAGGCAGTTCCTGGACTTGGGTGCTGGCTCCTCTGGGAAAAGCAATAGGGCCACTTAACTGCTGAGCCTTTCTCCAGCCCCAAGAGGAGACAATTCTTTACTGCTCCAATTAGCAGCTCCACGCCACCTCTCCTGACTCTCTCTCTCTCTCTCTCTCTCTCTCTCTGTGCAGTATGGAAGGAAAACCTACTGAAACAAAACGATTAAAAAACAGTCTCCAGAGTTGATGGGCCACAGTGGGTGGCAGGGGCGTATTATCACATGGGATGGGGAGCATGAGGCCCGAAGTATTTCCTGAAAGCTTAGGAGAGGCTCTGCCATAGTGAAGGGCTTCGTGGTAAGAGTTTTATGTGGATTTCCTTGTTGGAGCTTTTCTTGAATTTTTTTGGAGGCCAAGACAGGCCGAGCTACTGTCTGATTAAACAGGACCCCCATGTGAACAAGGGAGAGATAATCCGCTCCTATTCTTAGTTGGGAGGCATAACCTCTCCCCTCGGTTTGTAAAGCCAGTGTGCCGGTTTTGAATGGGCCCCTCTCTTTGTCAGAGAAGCAAACACCATGGAAACTTGATCCACTCTCTTCAGTGTAAGAAGGTCAGATAGCCACAGCCCAGGGCTGCGTGAAAGGGAGCGGGTGCTGTTTGGCCACCTAGGAAGACCTGAAGCAAAACGTCCACATGACTAGCTCCTCGCGCCGGAGGCCAGCTCCATGCTGTTTCCACAGGGCCTGCCAAATATTTCTGCAGAGCCCTTCACTGCTAACAGCCCATTGCTTGACTGTGTTGCTAACGTTTTCACTAAGGGAGCCAGCCATTCAGTAGCTACCATGCCTCGCAGTCTGCAGCTTGTCTTCAATTTGTCTTGCTCCTTGTGTTGAAGGACTGAACTCTGAACCTGGGCACTCATTCCCTCACTCCCCCTATCAGCGGTTAGGGAGACCCGTGCAAGAAGGCAGCCAGAGGTTCAAGGTTCCTGTGGCCTGCTGGAGGCATGTGAGTCTCTCTCCACACGCTGGGTGTACAAATCCCAAAGACTAGCGGCGCAGAGTCTCTCACTGACTGCTGACTGCAAGATCATTCCCCACGGCTCTGAATGCTCTCTCACCCGGAATTTGCCCAGAGCAAAACTTCACATCTAGAAAAGATGATAGCCCAGATCGATTCTTTGCAGAATGGCCAGGTGTGCAGGATTCATGGCAGTGAAGTCTTAGCTTGTCAAGGGATTTACCCTGTCACCAGGGGCAAGTGTGGACTTAGTTCTCTGTCGGCTCTCTTTAAACCTTGAGGCAGACAGCGTGAAATTACACTATTTGTGGGCCAATCATATTGACATTTGCATATGGCCGATCTTAATAGAGAGGACCAATAAGAATGAACACCAATAGGGTGGCTTCTATGTGCTTCTGTGGGACTGCTACCCATGCTGCTTCTCTAAGGTCTGGTTCCCATCGCACCAAAGTGACGCATTTATTTCCACTCACAGCTGAGCTCATGGAGGAGGCTTTTGTGAGTCAGGCCTGAATACAGTTTCTGGGTAATTATTTCGGGTGCAGGCTAGCCGGGCAGCTGGGAGCCGAGCGGGATGCAGCCCTCTCCACCATCTTACGACACCTTTTAGCTTTATTTCTTATTGCTTTATTTGTGACCCATTCTCCAGCTGCTAGGTCATGAATTAGAGCAGTGGTTCTTAACCTTCCTATCACCCTGACACTTTAATGTCTGTGCTATACCCTGCCCCTGAAAGCATCCATTTCATGGCTGGAGAGTCTCCTGCATAGTTTCTCCATCTTTCCAGGTCCACTGCGGACCCTGTTGGTCATTTCCTCCAACAGGTGCAACTGTTTTCCCCTAGTGCTCTGCGGGGCTGGGACCATTGTCACACTTGACACTTCTGGCCCTCTAATGCTATGGCTATTTGGACACTTATCCATTCTCCCCGTCAGACTTGGGTCTGGGCAAGTTTACTACAAGTCTTCTGAGTTTTACAGACCACACCACAGCTCCACCTGGCTGGTGGGTCTCAAATGTGGCTGCACTGCACACACAATGGATGAGAGCGGCTGCGTTTCAGTAAAACCGTAGGAATCCGAGCTGAGTTTGGGACTGCCCCCAGCCCCCATCCTAATTCATTGGTGTCTAGGGGGTGCCCATTGGGCCCTTCCTTAACTAAGATTAACTTCCTCAATCTGTGCTGTTTGGTAGCTGGATACATATAATTTCCAGCGTATTCTTCAGAGCTACCTCTCCCACCCCCACCCCTCTCCATGCGCATTTACTGTCTGCACACGCCACATAGATGTCAGGACCTCTTGAACGGCTGGTTTTCGTATAGGCTTAGGACCTAGCCTTGAAGCTTCAAAGGCAGGCTGACCTCTAAAGAACCATGAAAGGCCACATTTTATCAACCCCTTCTCTGCAAACTCTGAGGAATGCCCTTAAGGATCAGGCTGCTGAAAGCCATCTGAGGCTGGGATGGGGCTAATGGAGCAAAGGAAGCTACACTACCTGAGTTCTGATCAAAAGAGTGGGAAAAGGTGAGCTCAAAGCTATTACTGAAGAAGCCCGAAAGACATTTTCCTCTCGCTGCACCTGCTGCTTACTGAATTTGTAACTGAGCTACAACAGGGGGCCACCTGCTAAGAGGTGCCATTCATAAATCCACTTTCAGAGTCAGTAACAAGAGAAGGATTCTGTCCATTTAGTTGAGTTCACAACAGTGCTCATGAAGCCCGGATTCCCCCCTATCGCTGGAGCCACAGTCTTTTGTGTCTTTCTCTTCCATGCAATAAAATATTTGCATCCTCCTGGGCACAGTAGGTGACCCACTTTGGTTCTTATTTATTGTTAGTTTCTCTTCTAAGTGAACTCTGACCTCTTTCCTGTTAGTCTTGGTCATGTGACTGAGTAAGGCTAGTGACAGAAAGACACTAAGAACAGAAAGGAGCCCAATGCCTGACAATTCCATCAATAGTCATTACTCCATCCCTAAGGCTCTTTCTCTCTGGAATCTTGTTTAGAAGACCCAGGCAGGGGCAATATTCCAGCACAACTAGATCATGAACCAGTTTCAGAGACTTGTGATAAAAGGTGCCTTCGGAATGGGGTGTGCTTTCTGCAGACCTGATCCCAGCTACCGCGTGTGGAAGGCTACGTATAGGGCATGAGGGTTAGGAGAAACCGTGTTGACAGAGTCAACAACAAAATCGTGTTCTTCGCTGCCAAGGCACCTAGACTTTTCCACCCTTGGCCAGGGAGGATTATCAGCACAGTGCAGCTCTCTTCTCTCCCTCCTCCCGCTCAGCCACCAGGGCCTCCCCTGAGCCTCCCCAGCCCCCTCCTCTCGAGATGAAACATTAGGTTATTTTAAAGCTGTGACCTGAGCGGGCCTCCCAGGCAAGCTCCTGCAGTTGCTTTCGGCACATACCTAATTGCACATCTGCAGCCAAGCTGCTCCTGTGCTCCCCAGGAAAGAAAACAAGGCCACATTTCTATAGCTGGAGCAGAGAGGGGCCGCTCCGTGCCTATGAAAAGCGAACCATTCTACTCCATCAGTACTCTTAGGTCATGCTCCAGAATATAACATTTAGAATGCTGGAAGGAGCTCTAGGGGAAAACTGCCCCCATTTCCTTGATGAGAGCCTCTTCATTTAGCTGCTGGCAGATACTGGAAATGCCAATCCCAATCCGAACCCCCAGCACCCTCTACTGCAAACCTGGTGTCTCTGCCTGTCCTGTGCTGTGTCCCTCAGTTTTCACGTGCCTTGGGTGCTATGCAGAACGGAAGGAAACAGGGTGAAGAGGAGGGTAAATTGGGAGGCACAGGCAAGGGCCAAGTTCAGCAAGGTGCATTGAGGGTTTGCTACTCACATGTGTTGGGAGGCATTGGGGTACAGTTTTGAAAACTGTGGGGCGGAGTCTTCAGGGCCGTGGGGTGCTGCGTGGCTGATCACCATCATAATGGGCCTATGGGGATACATTCTCTTAGATAGTTTGAAGTAATTAATGCTCTCGTTAGTGATTAAGTCTGTGAAGTAGTCCTGAAACATACATTTGACACAAAACAAAAATTACAAAAGGTGACATTCAAGATCACATTAGAACACTGCTTCCCTCAGAATCTACCCACCGAGTATAAGCCTTACAGGGATGAGAGCCTCCCAAGGAGCCAGCCACTTTCAAGAACTGAAAAATATCTGTGACTGTTCTTTTAGGGTAGCCAGCTTAGCAACAAGGGTAAAAAAGATAAACAATTCAACAATTAGGGAAAAGAGGCAAGTTGTGTTTGCCTAAGATAAAAACTAAATCTGGCAATATAAATTCAAGAACATATGAAACACCGGCTATGAATCTCATTCTCAGCTTTCACTGATGCAATTCATTGGTCAAATTACTCCAGGGCAGGAAACACCCACACCAACTTCACATTCACACCTTCAGAACACACACACGTACAAATTGTGCAAACCCAGGGAATTATTTACTTTTTGAAAATTCTTTAATCTACCTGTAAGAATAATACCACCATCAAATCGAAGACATCATCAAAAAAAAATATCATAGGTCCAACGACAAATTGCAACATTTTCACAAGTCATTCCTTGGGAACACTTAAATGCGGGAGCCTTTGATTTCCTGTAGCATGTGCTGTGTGCATTGGAGAGAGGTCTGAGCTGCTGGGGTCTGAGTTTGACTTGCTGATAGAATGACTTAAACCACAGTGTAGGGGGCGGGGCCCGATGGAAGTTTGGAAGTGGGCAGGGAGGGCGCAGGGAAGAAGAAAGAGGAGACAGGAACTCTGACTAAGCCACCTGCTCTTCTATGCATATCATTGGCCTGAAGCTGGAGTGAGTGCAAGCTTTTGTCAGAAACTCCCAGGCAGTGGTCACAATGTCAAAGACTTCCGAGCACAGCTGGCCACGTGTGGTGGATTTAAGGACCAGATCAGCTGCAAGAGCAGTGCTGGGGGAAATCTGTGTCACGTCCTTGTTAGGACAAGTCCAAAGGCCGCCCACTCCTTTCCACGTGTGGGTCTTTTTAATTACTTTACAAGCACACATGCACATAAACATACACACTCGCGTGCGCATGCACACAGCACACACACTTTTCCCAACACAGTTGTCTTTGACACCTAATCAGCCGTGATAATGAGCAGGCTGCGTTGATTTAGTATTTGGAGAGAATCGTGATTACTTTGTTCTCCTTAGGACAACAGGGAACTAAAGGTTAATAGCTTGAACGAGGAGCATGAAAAGCATCCCCGCAGATCGAAAGGGAGAGTAATGACAATTAGCGTGCGTGGCATGCATCATTTGCCTGCAAAGATTTCGTCCCCAGTCAGGGAAATGACCCGGGATCCAAGAGTGGTTGAACCACTCCAAGCTGAGTTTCCCTGTCTTCTACAAAGAAGGATGTGGCTCAAATTTGCCTTCAAGGTTCCTGCTGACTGGCTGACTCTCAACTTTGATGATTAGAAGCCTATCAGCAGTGTTAGTGAGTTCATTTGCATTCATTATTTTCAGGAGGGTAGGAAGGAACCAGCCTTACACCTTGTCCCTCATCAGGACAGGCACAAAGGCAACAGCATTCCAGAAATGTAGCCTTAGACACGGCTCTCTTTCAACCAAATGCCTGAACCTGTTGAAACAGGTTGCAAAATCCAGCTGAATTCTGGCATTTGTAGGAAAACGAAATGAATGCATCCAGAAGGACAGAGAGTGTTTTAGAAAAATGACCAGCTTGAATTTAAAGATAGTCTTCCCGTCACTTTTATTATCTCATATTTTTTATTAATCTGAGTTAGTAATCCTAAGAATTTTTTTGTGATTGTTGTTGATTCCTACTTCAGCTGAGATCTCAGCAAGCATCTCTCCATGTTCGGGTTACCCTAGCTGTGTAGCCCAAACTCTCCATCTACCTGCCCCAGCCTCCTAAGAGCTGGGATCATGAATGTGTCTGGCTTATGTTGTAAACTTTAAACTCTAGGATCTGCTTGTTTGGGAACCATTGGCCATTTTCATAGATTGATACGGACATCCTAAGACTGGGAGCAGTAGACTGGTGGGAATTCTTACTGCCGTGGGGCAGATGTCCTGCTTACAAATACTGCTTGGTCCGATGGGAGTAAAAGCAAAAAGCGCAGTGTCTCAAAGTTCCCAGTGGCACCAGTCTGTCTTATTTTCACATGGAAGGCTGGATAAAATATACCTTCAACCACGGAAAAGCAACAGTACAAGATGCACATTTGATTATGCGGACTAGCTCTCGAGAGAGGGGGAAAATAAAATTTATCACAAGACTGAAAGAGGGGGCAGGATGATTTTCTGGGTGTCCTTTCATCAAAGCCTGATTGCCTTTCATCCTAATGAGAAAGAAGGAAAAAAAAGGCTCACTAGACAAAAGCATGGAGCCGTTAGAGTCTTTTTTGTCTGGAGCTGGAAATTGCCTTAAAATTTCTCATTCGAACATTGTGAGAACACAGAGAGCCCATCTTGCGGATAGTTTAAGTCCCTGGAAATGCCGTCCCCCCCTTTATACGCAAAAGCAAATTGACGCAGTTTTACACTGGAAATTACCTTTGCATAATCAAATCCATGCTTTTCTTTGATGCCGTTGCGACAAACAGTGTAATTATAGAAACGAGAATTCTTGATTAATCCAAGCCATTCTCGCCACCCAGGAGGGATGTAGCTGCCATTATATTCATTGAGGTATTTTCCAAAAAAGGCTGCAATAGGAAATGAAAGATCGTTTTTTTCTCATGTGAGATGATTAATCACAAACAAATGCAGAGATATGAAATTAGGGCTTGGAAAGTGACGGCGAGGTGAAAACCCGTCAGAGGAGAGAGTTGTTGCCGTTCTGCTCCGCAGAGTTCTTCAGGCCATGCCAAAGTGACATTCCCTCACTTCGCTTTTAAATTAAAAACTGAAATACATACATTGTAATGGTCATAACGCTTTTGGGGATCCGCTTCCTAGGGCCAGCCTGGAATTAATGCGGGATATATTCTTTTGTTCAACTGGTAGGCAGTGTAAGATCCTCTGTGTGCCTGCTGTGTGAGGACCGGAACACCGAGAATTAGTCTTTGTGACAAAATTAAGTTTTCTTGCTTTTTATTTGACTGACGAATCACAAACCTTCACGGAGAAGTTCACCTCGCTCTCCACACAACCACAGAAGAAATGTTTCCTAGTCTGTGAAGTCCTTCCAAGCCCCTGCTCATGGGGTATGGCGCCTCAGTTGGCACGCTGGCTTTTACCCACCCTCCATATCCACATCTGGTCTTGACTCAAGGCTGGAGTAGCTCCTGTTTCACTCAGATTGCTAGTCTTGAGCCCACAGTTCCATACCCCGTAGTTCTAATGCACCTTCCTTTCCTTCCAGTGACGTAGTCATGGTCTTGAGCAAGCTTTGTCTACTTTGATGGAAACTTTCTACTTTGTGGAGTTTTTTGTTGTTGTTATTTATTTATTGAGTCATTTCTGTATGTATGTGTTTAATTTGGGGGGCAGGGTCTGACTATGTGGCCTAGGCTGGCCTTGAACTGTCTGTCTTCCTGCTTGTATCTCTATGTCTACCTCCCAAGTGCTAGGATTGTAAGGTTATAGCCATGAATCTCTGTCTGCCTTTGCCTCACCCTGTGGCCTGCCCACCATCCCTACACAGTGCGGGGCTCCACTTTTCTGTCCATTTTCTTTTCAAACAGTTTTGTAAGGGAGCATAGCAATTGGAACGTGTCGCTGAGAGCAAGCTTCCCTGGCATCTGCAGGCCTGATCACCTCTTCCTCCCTGCACTGCCCTGGAGAACCTGCTTAGGAGAAGCCCAGTGCAGGGATGTTGTTGGGGCTAAAGAGGCTGGTCCAAGGGAAAGCACTTAAAACAGTGTTTGACAAGGGCAGGGGATTTCTCATGCAATGGTGAGAACCACTGTGTGATTCCACAGTGTAAAATACCGTTCTGTGGTCCGAGGGCAGCTTGCTCTCTAGTTTTGCTTTGTTACAGGTGTTTGTTGGGGTTTTGGATTTTGTCCCCCAATACGACTTATTTTGTAGAAACCAATTCTCTCCCATGTGGTTTCCATTTTCCTTCATTAATCTAAGAACCTTTCCTGCTACTTTTCGTGCTCCCCACCTCCAGGGCAGCCACGCCCAGTCATGCCTGCCCTTCACCCACGGCTGTATTTTTTAGGTCACCCTGTACCATTTCTAGTCATTACCAGGGTGATTGCCCTTCGCCTTAATCCTTCCCTTAGAAAGACTCCTTCAAGTCTGTTAGTAATTCCTGCTATTGCCTTCAGAACTGCCTCTGGGCTTTCGGTGTCTTTGTGTTAATGGAGTGTGAAAAGTGTGCTCAGGGTTCCAGATGTGGTATCACCCACCATATTCGCTGCAGGAGAGCCCAGGACCCAGCACCCGGAAGTGGAAGCAGCCAGACAAGGCAGTACACGCTCCTCTGGTCCTTTTGGAGCTTCCTGCTGTCAAGGTCAACTCTAATCATCCCTTTTTTCTTTGGACATTACATTTTTTTTTCCCCCCGTGCTCTATAGTTGCTTATCTGGGCTCCTAATCATTCTGTTCCACGTGTCCTTTCTGTCCACGTCTTTATCTAAGCTGGTTGATTTTCATCTCATTTCCATATTATGATGCCAATGACTTGGTTAAAAGCCTGAATTGTCTCCCTCCTTTGGTGACAGCAACTCAGCTCGGCTAGTGCTTCTGTCAGAACCACCCCACATCCGCCCAACCTTCTGGACCATTCTTTCCTTTTATGACATCACCACTTGTCTTCATGGCTATTTAGGGAGGTGGTTGGAGTGGGAAGATGGGTAGAGAGGTGGGAAAGATTGAATTATGGATCATAACTATTAGTGTGTGTTTGGTTGTCATAGTACTTCGCTCTGGGACCACGGGCTGCATAATACTTAGAAATATGCCTTGACTCTCTGAAGAAAACACTTTTCTTTCTATATCAGTAATGGTAACTATTAAAGATCTGATGCATAGAGAAATTAAATCTTATTTAGTATAGTGAATGATGTACTTATGACCACTTTAATGCATATGGCAGGATTTCATTGTAGTTACTAAAGATATAATTGAGAACTGAGCTAAACTGTGATTTATACATTTGAATATATGAATTTGGTTTACTCAGAGTGCAAGCATAGTGAAGACAGGACTCTTACATTCTGTCTCTTTATATCCCAGGGTCCAGTGTATTCCTAACATCCTGTGGTTCAGTAAATATATGTAATGGTCCATGTTTATGTGCCTAGCAAAAATCCATGACATCATAATCGAAACAAGTGAGAATATTAGCTTGCCTTACCCTAGAAGACTCTAAATTTAATGAAGTCCTTTACTAGAGAGAAAATAAATAAGCTTGTTATAAGTAAAGTAAATCTTATGCAAAAAACAGAGGATTTAAAAATAGATAACTTTATGTAAATTAAGTTATCATAGAAAAAATGTACAGCAAAGTCAAGTATGGTGTCATGTGTCTGCAGCGGAGGCTGAGACAGGAGGATGGCTTGAGAAAGGCAGCTGCAGACCAGTCCAGGCAGCATGGTAAACATACCAGCACGCAATTAATTAGTGAAACATTTCATTGCGGATTTCAACTAAATATTGCCTCTTCCACTTACGGCATGGAATAAAACGGATGTGTCTAAAATCCAGTTCATGTGATTAGGTAATTTTAGCGAGCATAGCAGAACTGCAGTGTAATTTTGGACAGGAAAGAAAACTCTATGTTGGGAAGCTGGCTTGAGTTCTTCAAATAGATTAAGGACAGAGTAGGCTGTGACCACAGCCCCTTCGGCTCTGCCTTCAGCCTCTTTCCATTCAATCAACCACGGATGATTTTTTTTAACCTTATAGTTTTGGGATAAGTTTTATATTAACTTCTATTCTGTCATAATTTTTAGCAGACTTTAGGCCCCACTCTGGTTTTTTCCCTCTGTGATAGATAATCCATGGCTTTTCATTTCACTCCCCAGGACAACGTGCAATAGACATAGTGTTGTGTTTTACCCTTCTTGGACATTTAAGCTTTGGTCGACTCACATTTTCCATGACTAAAGTTAGAAACATTTAGGCTACAACCAGTCCAAAAATATGCCTAAGTTCTGAAAGAGGAAAGTCATGTCATACAAGGGTAAATATAATATTGGATCAATTCATTTCATTTAAAGCCATGTATTTTGGATGCCTCCCAAAATAAGCTTCTTAGTAATTTGTCTTCTCGGAGTTGCTTTTCATAGAACTTATTGCACTTTGTGTTTCTCTCTAGATGGATATTTATGTGAGTCACGTTATTTCCGCCATTATTTTTCTTAACTCTACAGTCAAATAGTCCACGTAATATGTTCATAATTAGGAAAACAGCAACTGATTAGACTTTTGTCCCCAGCTCACTAGTGTAGTGTCTTGTAATCTTCTCCCACATCCCCTTAATTTTGTAGCCACCATTCACAGTTAGATCACTAACTACTGTTACAATGATAGTCGTATTTCCTAATTTCCTGAGAAACTTTTATCTTTCTCATCAGAGATAACTTTAAATTACACAAGTCTCTAGCCTCATTGTGCTGCTGAACTCGAACCCAGGATCTCAGACAAATACTCATCCACGGACCCATATCCCACCCATCTGAGTGAATGGTATACTTTTCTAGCCCCTGTGTTTGGAAGGGTCCTTGCTTCCCTGAAAGAATTCCTTATACATGGAAGCCTGATCCTGCACTGTGAATTCTGTCATCACCTATACGTCTCAGTGTTGGCAAGATGTTAGCATTAGAATCAGTCATTGTTTCTAGGAGCTGATCTGCTGTCCCTGCAGAAAACCCCACTAAGGCAGGAGTGCTGGGCTGCCAAGAATAACACCCAGCCTTTATTGGGGATGCCTGATGGTTGGTGCTCACAGCTTTATCCCAGACCCAACTCTCCTAGTGGGGTAACATTCTGAGCTGAGCCCTGCCCTCCAAAGCACTGGTGCCAGCTCTATCCCCAAGAACACCCCTCTCTTGTAGGTATAAAGTTTATGCTGGGAAATTAAGAGATTCGAGTCAGTGATGACGAGATATGGTGGCACATGCCTATAACGCCAGCATTCAGAGGCTGAGGGATTGGAGGTCAGCCTGTGTTATAAAAGAAACGAACAAAACTTCTAAATAAATGATCTCTAGTTTTTGTCAACCCAACGAAGGGTGAGTGTGTCATGATACAATTAAAAGAAATCCAAGAGTGCCCTGTGCCACCTACAAGCAAATGGTTGGTTTCTGTGCTTGGTGGCCCAGTGAGCTCTGCAAGAGATTCTTTTCAATTCTGCTATGGCTATCAGGAAGCTTCCTTCCTTCAAGCAGCCTTTCCCTACTGCACAGCGTGTACTTTAGAGCCACACTTCACCAGAACATTAGGTAGGTGGCATCGTTAGTTTCTGCTTGCCAGGGTACTGATTGTTCTGCATCCTACCTGGTTCTATGTGTCTGTAAGGCACTTTGGAACAAGGCAGGAGAGAATAGCATGCAGAGAAATAAGATCCTGGAAACAGCCAGGTCCAGCAGCACATGCCTGTGTCCCCAGCACTATGGAGGTAGAGCAAGGATGATCAAAAGTTCAAAGTGGTGAGTTCAAGGTGAGCCTAGACTATAAGGAGGTCCCGCCTTAAAAGACAGACAAACAAGAGGATATTGGAAACTGCACTCAGATATTCTGGGTTCCGTCCACCATCAGTGGATTGACTTTTGTCCTCTGACAATGAGTTCTTGTGAGTCTGGTTTTCTTCATTAGTACCATAGTCTCCCTTCAAACTTTCTTATAAGAAGTAGGCGAGATAACGAAGTGGCCTGGACAGAGAGGGCAGGCTGTAGAAGCCCATTCCCTTCTTCCTCATCTTTCCTGGGCTTGCTACAAAACAAATCAGCATAGCCTGGTGCTGCTCTAAGTCCTCCTCTGTGCTCCACCACTGAACACAATCCCATCCTATGCTCTGGATGTGTTGTGAGTTCCAGTCTTCCCAGATCCATGGTCTCCACTAGGGACTAAATTGCAGAGATTCTGGGAACGGCAAAGGCACCAATTTCACATGCTTCCCGTGAGCAGAGCACACTGGTGGTTGGTTTGAGTAAGAAACCATGCACCAGGGGACTGTTCTAAACCTTCTTCAGAGCTGGCTACCAAAAACGTAAAGCCACACTACAGTATAACACACAGCCAAGCACATCTGCCATCTTGGAACCCTGCAAGGATGCTTAGTGGATTTGCTAATGGCTTGAGAGTCCTGGAATGAAATATACATCACTAATGTGAGAAGACACACCAGGAGCAGGTGCCTTCCGCTACCCCCTCTCCAGCCTAGTTTCCCTAACCGGAAGCAAAGGCTCTTGAGATAGCAGAGGGGTTTCCTCTGTGAATGGGATGCTCAGACGTCTGTGTGCTGGAGCTATCATTGGTACAATCGATACTTTCATTCTTAAATAACAAGAATTAAGTGCCCATGTGGGCTTGCTGGCAAAAAGCAAATGACTACATACTTCCTAATACCACTGGGAAAGATTAAAAAGAGATTTAAGAGACCATGTATCTGAAATCTCTTAGTTTTAAACTTTGAGAACAGATAATCTATAGGCCTAAAAATAATTTTCAATAAACTTTTTTGATGACGTCTTTTTATGAATAAATCTGTTTCTTGGGGTAGGGATCCAAACCCTACATTTTACCCTTGTAAACCCTCCAAGTGAACCCTATTTCCATATAGAAATGCTTAGAAAACTGGGGGTGCAGTAACCAGTGCTGGAGAAGGAGGGCTTTGAGGATAATGGTCCCAGGGAATCTTCCTGTTACTCCTTACTCACAGTGGGCCACTCCGATCCCTACCCAGAGAGCTCAGTTTTCAAACCCCAGCCAACCATGAACCTCACTTTGCTGTGTGGAGGCTCAGGGAAGACAACTCATGCTTCCTTTCCTGGAAGGAATGGCGAGTGTCTGCTGGCGGTGACGTCAGCTGAATCTACTGCTAGAGCCTTGTTAGTTACATATGAATAAATAAACGAATCAGCAAGGGCCACAGGCTGGCTTATTGATTCATTCAAGAAGTCGTTTGGCTCATGCACTGGGCCTGGGGCTCTGGAGTAGGCACCAAGTGGTTCAAAACAACGCTTAGTCATTCCCCAGGGATTACCCACATCTAAGCAAACCCCTGAGTTCTTCCATGATCCCGAGATTTGTGAGTGGACACCGCATTCAGGACCTGTTACCCTGGACTAGTTCACCTGCTGGGGGCCTCTGTGGCAACAATTTCCCACTGCATCGGCTGAGAATGCTGAATTTCCTAGAAGGGACTTCACATGGGTACATTCTCCGGAGTAAAAATACTTCGCACCCTAGTATTAATGTGGCTTGTCTTCTTTAAAATCTGTTTTTGGACTTAATTAGACTGCCGAGAGGAGCTCCGGGCTTTCCCAGGAGTGGATGATGCCTGCAGAGCAGGGGGTGAGAAAGTGAGGCCGCCGTTGTGTTGTCTGTCCGCTGAGTGCACTGAACTCGTCTTTTCATCCTTTGCCGTTATGATAGAGAATAGAAACTTTGCTGGAAGCTGCCAGCATGTTCTCCCAACCCCCTGAGCTGTGAACTACTTAGACCTCGTTCTTCAATAAGTTACCCTGGCACGTGGATGCGGTTATAGCAACAGAGCACGGACCACGGCAGAGATGAGAGAAGGTAGACTCCTCATTATTGAGTGTCCTGGAACTTCTCATCCACCATACTCTCCTGTATCGTTTCCCTCCTCTGAGACTGTGGAAAGAGAAAGAGCATCCCTTACCTGTTCTGTAGCCAGTGTTGTTGAGATACACAGCGAAGGTCCGAGGCTCGTGCATCGCCTGCCACGACGGGGAGGAGCAGTTCTCATTGTTCGTGTAGACGTTGTGGTTGTGCACGTACTTCCCCGTAAGCATGGACGACCGTGACGGGCAGCACATGGGTGTGGTCACAAAGGCGTTGGTGAAGGTGGCCCCGCCATGCTCCATGATCTTTCTCGTTTTGTTCATGACTTGCAGAGAACCTGGAAGACATAGTTCTGGCACCCGTTAGCAAAGCGCACCTCGTGGCTACTCACTTCCGACCTGGCTCTGAAGCATCTCTGTTCTCTCTGCTTGTTAGTTTCCCTCCCCTTGTGTGAAGGAGTCTATGATTTCCTTGGTCCTCATTTCTAGAACAAAACAGGCCTCTTGGGATCTGAACATCTCAGACATTCTGCAGAATAATCATCCTGCTTCAGTGTCTCTCCTCTTTAATCACAAAGAAAAAAGCACACAGGCGATTCATGTAATCAAAGTCAGAATTTTAGATATGAGGAAGATTCCAATGTCAGGTGCCTTTGAAGACCATTAGGGAACAATGGCTTGTAACAACAAATCAACACCCTGGGAAAGTCTAATAATACCAGAATTTAGCCAATATGATGTTTTAATTTTAATTCCATGGCAGAAAAAAAAAACCACAAAACAAACCCCTTACTAAGCAAAAGATCCTTCAAAATATATGTAATCGGAGACCAAGGAGTGTAAGGAGGGAGAGGGAAAAGGGTAAGGGGAGGTACGAGGGGGAAGGAAGAGGTATCTCAAAGTAATTTGGTATCCTCTAACAAGCTGATCCATGTCTGCCTGTGTTTCTATCCAGATAAGACTATGGCCTTGTGCCTTGGCTAGGTTATGTGTCCACTCTGTCCAGAGAAAAGGAGGGAGTGTATGGTTTCCAGCAAGGAAGAAAACTGGAGTTACATAGAGGCAAATGAAGAGAAGCTGCAGTTATCCTGAATCCTTCACCTTAGCATTTTCTGTTTGTGTGTGGTGGGGTGGGAGAGGGGCTTCTAATTGGGTCTCACTAGAACTTAAACATGCTTTTGCAAGGGGCGCTCCTGACTGCTCCTTCTCTCTGTGGTGTGGGAAGGCCTCCTGCATATGTGTTTCTTTTATTGATTAATGAATAAAGGTGCTTTGCCCTATGGCAGGGCAGAATGGAGTAAGGCGGGAATTCCAAGCAGATAGAGGAGGAAAGAAGGAGGAGTCAGAGAGACGTCATGTGGCCACCAAAGGAGACAGACATTCAGGAATCTTACCGGTAAACCACAAGCCTCGTGGTAAAATATAAAATAATAGAAATGGGTTAATTTAAGACATAAGAGCTAGCTAGAAAGATTTCTAAGTTATTGGCCAAGCAGTGTTGTAATTAGTACAGTTTCTGTGTGATTATTTTAGGTCTGGGCAGCTGGGAAACAAACAAGCAGCCTCCGCCTACATCTCTGGTTGTCTTCTGGTGATCAAGCACCCTTTCATAGGACATGGCATACAGTGCACTCCCAATTGTGCTGAACATTTGAGCAGCCTCAGCTCTCTACACCAATTCCCCTGTATTATGAGGGGAGGTGGGGAAGAAAGTACAATTTTCCGCCTCTGCTAGCCACTACACACACCATGGGTAAGAACTGACATGCAGAAGTTTCTTGTGAATATTTGCAAAGCCCTACCACCACCACAACACATATATAAGAACGTGAACATAGCTACAGCAAGAGTGTAAGCCAAGAGGGGACTGGAGTGAATGCTTAACAGGAGAGGTGAAGACAGGACAGGAGAAGAAGGAACTGTCAGGTGGGTAGGGTGCAGTGCACTGTTGGGGACAAAGGGAGGACAGCATGGGTAATGCCCTCTGGTGACCAGGAGAACAGTAGAGCTCCGGGAATGGCTCTCTGTTTTTCTGACATGGAAGAGAATATGAAACGTTTTCTTAAAGAAATGTGACCCGAGAGGCAATGCAGACATCGTGGCTGCTGGGCAGACATACTAGGATCTGATGAGAGCCATAGGATAAAGGCAGAGTAGAATTTGATGAGCAAAGAATACAGTGAGCAAAGTTTTGAGAGGCGTTGTAGCAGGAGCGGTGGTGTGTGAGTAGAAGACTGTAGCCAAAAGGCTGTGGAAGCCATCCTGGCCTGCTATAATAAAGCCTCCCTGCTCCCTTGATAGACAGGATCCAAGAAGCAGATTCAAGGCACGCTATAATCCATGGAAGAGGGCTGTGGGTTGACTAATGGCTCAGATTTTCAGCACAAGAAGAAATCTGGAAAGGGAATGATTTCCTTGATGGTGAAGAAGTAACTCCAAAGAATGTGCCTCCCAAAAGATCAAAGAGAAATGCATTTCAGAAGGGTTGCCTTTTACATTTTTGCTGGGCGATCATAGAGAGGAGACATTCGGACGTGAGCTGATGGTAGAGAGGAAGTTGGAAGGCTTCTGCAGGTGCCCACCAGCCCCCTCGCCTCTCCTCTTTAGGTCTAGGTGGTGTTTCCTCACGGGAATGTCTTGACTTTCAGAAAAAACAGCAAACACTGCCTAACAGTCTATTCCAGAGAACCAGTTCTCAGAGTTTCCTTTATGGGCCTTTGTTAGATTCAAATAAAAGAAGGAACGCAGCTGGAGGCCATCATCCGAGGTCCTGCATCCCCAGTGGCCACCTCCCTCTTCCAGAAGCATTTGGACTGCAAATGTCGGGTGGAGGAGGGGATCGGATTGAAAGTCAAAATAGCAAAATCTGCGGTTAAATTGTCTTTAGCCTCATTAACAGTCAGAGGAATTTCTCAGGCAGAATCCCCCTCTCATCCCCACGGTTACCTTGTTGTTAATATCTGAGCTAACCGTGTTGTGATCCTAACCACTCCCTCAAAAACAGATGGACAAACAACATCCAGACATGGCCAACAGATTGGCCCGAGCAACTCCCTTAACCTCTTTGGGTTTGGGTTTCTGCTCTGTAACGTGGAGCTCTTCTCGCTCGTTCCCAGTGCTGTCAAGAAGTGGATGTACTGATGCTCTGATGAGACCCCTTGACGCAGGAGTGCTGTTGCTAGGGCTGCACAGTTGGCATTCCGTGTCTGTGGGTTTCCCATTGGGCCTTTCAAACCAGCTCCAGATTGAAAGCACTCAAAAATATTAAAAGGATCCAAAAAATTCCATAGGCAAAAAAAAAAATATATTGCTCCTAAACATATGAAGACACTTTTTTGGGGGGGTCATCATTCTTCAAACTAAATATAGCACAAGTATAAACAAAGTATTTCCACGGTGTGGGGGATTAGGAATACTCTACAGTAAATAGCAGAATACATATTCCATTTTGTATGTGGGATTTGAGTATCAAATATGCTTAGTATTTGCTGGAGTTCTATATTAGTTACTTTTCTGTTGCTGAGATACAACGACATGACCAAGGCAACTCACAGAAGGGTTTATTTAGTCTTATGGTCCCCAGGGGATAAGTGTCTAGCATGATAGAGAAGCGACAGGCATGGCAGATAGAACCGGATGCCAAGGGCTCATATCTGGTCTCCTGTGGATACCAACTGCCCTCCGCTCACCTCAACCCCGAGCACATGCTTATATGTGTCACTGGTTTTTGATTAAGTAACATTCACACTAAATACTTAGGTTGTTTTTTCGAGGAAGCATAATTTCTCATGTTAACCATTACCACGTCTGTGGCAAAGAACGGGCTGCTCAACAACAATAATTCCCATATTAAACATGAATGTATTGGTGTAGTGAATATTTTAATCTAAAAATACAAGAAAAAAAAACCATAAAGCAGTTTATTTTTCTGCCAAAACTATTCAGTCTTTGGGGGACGGGCACAAGATGTTTTCAAAACCAAGAGGGAAAAAAATTGGAGAAGGAGGGAAAGAAGGAAGATAGTAAATCTGTCTGGAAAGTTTCCAGTTCACTGAAACGCATGACTCCCTTCTCCCACCCAGTAAGAACGAAAAGGACCTGAGATGCTGAGACCAGGGGGAAAGGAAGGCATTCCTGCCGGCCTCTACAGCCTTAGCTCACAAGTGAAGCCACAGACACGAGAAACTCACCTGGCCTTTGTCTTTCCAAATTTCACACTCTCTAGAGATGTAGGTTTAGGAACCCTTTCCTGACTGTTTAATGCAGCAATGTGGGAATCTTGGTAAGTGACAGGCTCTTGGTAGAGGTGCTGGGAGGCAAAAGGGGGCTGATTGACCTGGGGAGTCACACCCCACCTAAGGGGGTGTCTGAAATGAGGGGGGCTAGCCTATGGCTGACTCTGAGAAGTGTAATTCTCTCTTCAGAACTGTTTTAAAAGTCCAGAAGAAGGAGGAGGAGGAGGAAGAACAATGAGTATTTTAAAGTCTTGGTCTTTTATCCAGACAACATCTACGTAGCCCTGGCTAGCCTGGGACTTATGTAGTCCAGGTTGGCCTCGAGTTCACAGAGATTCACCTTGCTTCTGCTTCTTGAATGCTGGGATTAAATTCATGTGACACTATGCCTGTTTTTTTTTTTTTTTAATTCAAAGGGCAAATGACACATATCTATAGGCTAACTCCAAAGCTCTTCTTTAAATAGGCGAAGCATTTCCACATGCTTACGGCTTAATTCCACTTGTGGTCGGAGGGACAGAGAACCAGCAGGGCAGAGACCTAAGAAGGTGAGCAATGCCATGCTGAGTTAGTCCGCAGTGTTTTCTTTCTCAAAATGGAACCAAGGGACCATCTGGAAGAGAATGAGCGTCTATTCTCCAGCTTTTTCATTCTGGTTGAAGAAAGCGAAGAGTTTCTCAAGTATTTCAAAATTTCTTTCTTTTGATGTGTAAAATATTTGAAAAGCGCAGGCAAGAGCAGAATGAATCACACACATCTAGTTTTATTAAATCTATCAAAGCTACAGTCCATCCCCAAAGACACCCCCCCACAAACGCAACCACAGGCAGACAGACACACAGACAAACACAGAAACAGACAGTCAGACAGACACAGACACACACACTACCACACTCGAGTCAAAAGAAAACATATACATTGTGAATGCTCTTGGAGACCTCTCTCCCCAGAAGTAGCCATTATCCTGAACTTCACATTGCTCATTTCCACACTTTCAGAAGGGTACGGAAGGGGTGTGTTGGCAGTGACAGCAGGAAGAGAAGGGAGGGTGGGGACAGAGTAATCAGAATGCATTGTACAAAGCTGTCAGATAACAGACAATTTGTCAGTAAAAAAACTGTTTTTATAAAAGTCTTCCTCCTCCTAAATACCTGCTTCGTCAGAAGTAAAGGCAACATCGGGGGCTTCTTAAATTCTGGAAGAAGCAAACGCCAAGTCAGAGGATGCTCAGTTAAGTCATGACCTCTCCCCAGGGTCCTTTCCTCCTGGGATGCTGACTGCTGTCTGTCCTGCCCACTTGGGTGGGAAGCCACAATTCACTCACAGCAGTGTAGATGGGTGTCCTCTGGATCACATGGAAGGTTCTCGCACTTCCCTTAACGAGTTCCTCGTGTGTCTTCATCACTTTACAAAGTACTAGTTTATTTATTTGCCCTTCTAGCTGAGGACAAACCGAATGCATGCCTTTCCTTCGCCGCCTCGTTTTTAAACTGTAATCAGAGCCCTGCTCAGTCTTTGTCTTTCCAGACAGGCCCTGGATGGTTTCATTCTTTCCAAATTAGAAAACTGTTGTACTAAAATTTTTATATATATTTTTTACAAGTATTTTCTGAGTGTGCTGCGGCTCTCTGGAGGTACAGCAGCCAACAGGCTGGGTCTTCAGGAAAAAAAAAGTTTACCAAAACAATGGCCTATTAGAGCCCTTGGTAAACAAACTCACATGTAAAAGTGAAAACCAACATCAACTGCAACTCATCCAAATCACATCAAGATACCGCCTTGCACACTGGAAAAACAAACACAAGAACAGACAAACAGAAAAATGACACGTGTCGATAAGGATCTGGAGGAATTTTTACTCTTGTGCTTAGTTGGAAGGAATTTAAAATGGTATAGTTGCTATGGAGATCACTGTTATTTCCCATAATATTAAAAATGAAATTATAATATGATCCAGCAATGGATCCCACTCCCTAGTAGAACCTTCCCTTTGCAAAAGGATGGAAAGCAAAGCCTTGAAGATGCTTTATACATGCATGTTCATAGTAGCATACATGCATGTTCATAGCAGTATACATGCATGTTCATAGTAGTATACACGCATGTTTATAGCAGTATACATGCATGTTCATAGGAGTATACATGCATGTTCATAGCAGTATACATGCATGTTCATGGGAGTATACATGCATGTTCATAGCAGTATACATACATGTTTATAGCAGTATACATGCATGTTCATGGGAGTATACATGCATGTTCATGGGAGTATGCAGGCATGTTCATAGCAGTATGCATGCATGTTCATGGGAGTATACATGCATGTTCATGGGAGTATACATGCATGTTCATGGGAGTATACATGCATGTTTACAGCAGTGTACAGGCATGTTTATAGCAGTATACAGGCATGTTCATAGCAGTATACAGGCATGTTCATGGGAGTATTCAGGCATGTTCATAGCAGTATACAGGCATGTTCATATCAGTATTTTTCACTAGCACTAAAAGAAGGAAACAACTAAAATTCCCAACAGTAAGCATACAGGAAAAACAAGTGTGGTTCATGTAGTGTGCTCGGCTGGAATATTGCACAGCCCTAGAAAGGAGTTTCTCACACATGTTACAGCACGGATGGACATGAGGATGCTAAGCTATGTGAATTTAAGGCAATCACAAAGTTTCAGATATACGATCTACTCACAAGGTATCTGTTGAAGTAAAATTTTGAGACACAAAGTGTAATGGTGACTGCCGGGGCTGAGAGATGGTTCAAGCAGGGAGTTGTTCAGGGGTGGAAAGTTTCAGTTTGGGTTGTGAAAAGCATTCTGAAGATTGCTTCCACAACAACACGAGTGGACTTAATGGCCTGAACTAGTTAGAAATGGTGACGGTAGTGAACACCAAGGACAGCCAATGCTACAACAGTGAGGTTGGGAAGAACTGTGTGTGTCACTGGGATCAAGCAGTAACCACCATCAAAGTCACAGCTGCCCTACTGAGAAGGGAACATCTGAGGCATTGCTTGTCTGTGCTCCCTAATCACCAGGTTCACAAGTGGGGAAGCAGGGCCCATCTTTTGTCTCAGTGTGGCTCTCGCCCAGAGCGCTACTGGGAGTTGACAGGTTGAATTTTGGAAGGTTTAGTGAGCATTCATTTATGGATCAACAGATGGGAGAGACAGTGGCTCAGCTGTGGCGACCTAAGACAGGTCCCGAATTTGTCGTCTCCTAGCTACGGCGTCTCTAAACCTTTTCTCTGCTGTGCAGGAGCTAAGGGTAGTGAGGATTGCTGGGAGAATGAAATGGGCTAATGCTTGGCACGTCACCTGGCTAGGAAATGAAGAAAGAGACAGAGAACAGGTCTGAAGGTACAGTTAACACCTGCATCTTGACCAAGTTGGGTCTATCACTCTAGCTTTTAAGCGATTTTTATTTATTTATTATGTATATAGTGTTCTGGCTGCATGTCTGCCTGCATGCCAGAAGAGGGCACTAGATCTCATTATGGATGGTTGTGAGCCACCATGTGGTTGCTGAGAATTGAACTCAGGGCCTCTGGAAGAGCAGCCAGTGCTCTGAACCTCTAAGTCATCTCTCCAGCCCCACCACTGTATCTTTTTTTCTAACAAACCAGGAGACTCCAGTACTTAGCAATTACATTGTAAACATTTGCTAGATGACTATATTGTAGGACAAGGCAGAAAACTTGAATTTGATTTTAAAATAAGTGTAGCAGATAATTCTTCCTTAATTTCTTTTAAAGTCAGCACTGTATGTTGAAGAGAAAGGGAATGATGGACGCCTACATACCTTTCTGGGAGATGGGTTATCTACTTCAGAACCAATGTGCACCTATCCAAAGTTTACAGAACATCTGCTACAGTCTAGCCTGTGGAGTGGGGTGTGTGGGAGGGACAGGCTTAGAAATGTATGGTGGACTGAGTCATCCTGGATATGGAGGGGAGAGTGTGCAAAAGAAAACATCCTCTGACCGGTGGGGTGGTAGTAGTTTTGGGAAGAACCCCAAACTCAAGCCTGGGGTACCTGAGCTGCTTATGAACAGGTAGCGTTTCACCAGGTAGATATAGGGGAAAGGTAGAGACATGGCATGGGAGAAGGGAGCGGGAACCAACACATGATTCAGTGGGCAAAAGTTGCTTCTTGATGCATCGAGGGAGGCGGTAGGGGGTGGAAGAATTCCTTGAGAGTCACTGGGGCTAGGGGGCCCAGTTAATTTGCCTACAGAGACGACAGGACAAAAGAGTGTCTGTCACCCAAGGATTTTACCCTAAAGTGACCACATACACATAGAATTCAAAGGTAGCTCTAGCCACGGGATGTAGGATGAGCATGAGAAACTGAGAAATAAGGAGGGTCTAGAGACCTCAGCTGCCTGCGTGAGGAAGTCAGGCATGAGCCCCACCTTTTCTTGTCCTGTAAGCAAATGAAGACATTTAAATATCTTAAAGCCATGTGCGCTTGACCTTTCATCATGGAAAACGTACCTGAAAATAAATACACTTTTTCTTTATTGTTAAATGGGAAATGAGAAGCAGACTCAGTGATGGCTACTCCTGCTGCCTTTAGTTTACCAGCTCCCAGCTGAAGCCTGGTAATTAACTTTGTTCTGATTCCATGGTCTGATCCTTGAGACCAAACCTTGGAACTTCCCCCTCTTATCCTCCCCATAAGTCAACTTGAACTGCATAGATAGGAACCTTTGGTCAAAGCCCTGCAGCAAAGAATGGGGCTACAGGAGTGGGAATGGGAATGCAGATGACAGCCTGCCAGAAAAACCATGCATTTGTCTTAGGGTATTCGGTATTCGGGAAGATCCTGCCTACGAGCTTCCAGATAAGACGCTAGGGCTAGGTTTTTAAAGACAGCAAGAGGTCAGAGGTGAGCCCAAGCCACTAAATCCTGGCACACTTCATTTGAGTGCTCTTGAATGAGCTCAGGAGACATGTTCAAAGGCACAAACCCAGGCATGGTGAGTCACCACAAGGGTATATAGAACACGGTTCAGTTTCAGCTACGTCTATTAGGTCGGGGCATGTTGGTATGTATTCTTGTTGCAGCACTCAGAAGTCAGAGGCAGGCAGATCTCTGTGAGTCTGAGGCCAGCCTGGTCAACATAAGGAGTCCCAGGCTAGCCAGGGCAACACCTTGAGACTGTCTCAAAAACAAAACAAAACAAAGCAAAACAAACAAACAAACAAAATAAAAAAAGGAAAAGAAAGAAAAGAAAAATTCGTTTTATCCATCTTTTCTATAACTTTCAGAGAACGTCACACTCATGAGCACTTTACTCACATTTCATAAATTAACTTCTTTCTTTTCACCCTCTTTTCTTTTCCATACAGGGTCTTAAATTTCTTGGGCTGGTTCCAAGTTATTATGTAGTTAATACGAGTGACCTTGAACTCCTGATTCTCCCCTCCCTACATTCCAAGTACTGAGATTACGGGAGTGAGCTACCAAGCTCTTGGCCAAGCCCTTGACCTCTGTGGTTTCCCAGGCTAACTCATCCCCCTCATCTTCTTATCCTTGCTCTTTTTTTTTTTTAAAAAAAAATCCATTTTTAAAATCGCAATACCAGAAAAGTAATGTGAAGACAAATCTAATAGTTTATGACCAGTACAAGTTCACTGTGTAAACCAGATGACAGTCAGAGGCAGCCAGCAAAGCACCAGCCCCCCCCAGCTGAGCACCTTTGATACAACAGGCTCTGGAAACCATTTGAATCAGAAAAGACTGACAAGAGAAAAATCTAGGGTCTCACCCAGCTCCACGTCCTGGTCATCGGTGAGCACAAGAATAATGTTAGGCCGGATGTTCTTGCGTTCTTGTTGTATCCTTCCTCGGAACCTCTGGGACCGCACAGTGGAACACAAGCTCCCCAGCAGTTCAGTGCCCAGAATAGCCAGCAGCAGGGCCCAGCAAGTACTCTTCATTGTACTTGGTCCAATGTCGCGAAGCTGACAAAAAGTCTGTCTTCGAGTTCTGGGAGTTGGGGTGTCGGGAATGGGGGAGGTGTCAAGACAAAAAGAGAAAGGGGGGGAAATGAAAATGAAATCCAAACCCAGAAGGCAGTTGTAGCAAAAAGGCTACAAAGCAGCCAGAGCTGACACTTGGGCTGACGGCACAGGGCTGCTCAATAGTCAGAATCAGCAACCCTCACTCGCACAGGGGAGGTTTTTAAGTACTTGATTATTTTGCAAAATCGCTTTTGTCCTTTATTCTCCATCCAACTTTCCCCGTTTCCATTCACTGCCAAAGTATAATTTGCAGCACCGAGCTGAAACGTAAAAGCTTTCTGACAAGAGCTAATACCTTGAATTAGGTAGCCTGGTTGAATAATCAATTCCTAGACTCAGAGGTTTTCAGAACATCTGCAGACGGAGTCCTAGAGAGGAGAGAGGGGAAAACACAGAGGCAGCGTCAGTCAAGGGTTTCAAAACAGACTTTTGAACTGAACTAATGTTTTCAAACAGCGCGTCACATGCCGATATTTTCTTCATCTCCTGCAGAAGGCAGAGAGGGTAGCACACGGAACTGCTGATCAATGACTCGGAGAGCATCTCCGTTTCTTAAGTGGCGGCATAAACAGTGGCCAGTGCATCATCTCTGCTCTTTAAAAAAAACCCAACTAGACTGAAAAAGGATGAGAGGAGCCAGCCACTAGGAAAGTGCAGCTGCCTGTGCAGAGTGACTGGGGCAGGGCAGGCTAGAGGAGCCTTAATCACCTGCAGCCCTTACTATCTACCAAGCAGAGTAAAATGCAGAGCTGTCATTTGTCATCTGCACTGTGTCACTCACTACCCGTGGGAGTCATCTGTGGACAAAGACTTCTGAGCAAGTAGGTGGCACAGCCACCTTTTCCAGCCACTGAGAAGCTCCTAACTGTCCCCATCAATCACCGGAGGCAAAGCACTTCTTGACAGCGAGGCTGGTCCCTCAGTTCAGTCCTTGGTTCCCACAGTGGCGCCTTAGATGGCAGAGTCCCTCCAGCAGTCAGTCAGTCGCCAGTCTGACTGTTGTAAGGACAGAGAGTGGCTAGCACAGGCATTGGCTTTGCTGCAAGGCATCTAAGCCGGCAGAATGAGCTGCCTGATTGGCTCAGAGGCTGGAGGTGAGTGGCCGCCCTCCCCACATTAGAAAATAAATAAATGAAATCTGGAGGGTGAGCGGAGCAGAAATCTTTGCAAAGCTGCGCGGGAGGAGACTTTTCTGAAAGGGTTGGGGAAAAAAAATGTCCCTCCACTTTGGAACACTAATCTGCAGAAAGCTCATCTCAGACTTCTGAGAGCCAGCGAGGGGCTCTTTTATTTCCCTCCCTTCTGTTATGCCACAAAGGAAGCTTTTCATGAAACTAATTAGATAGCAGCCCACTCCATCAGCCACTCCGTCCCCACACCTGAGGGTCTGTATTTTGATGTGCAACAATAAACTGGCATAGGATAAATGAGCAGGACTGCCGAGATGCAGGCATCCCAGGGCAGGGGAGGGGCTCCTCCCGCATGCCTGTGCTCTGCATTCTGGAGATGGACACGAGGCAGCAAAAGAAGAAAGAATGCGTTCATCCCATCATCCCCATTGCTTGCTTTGTGCAAACATGTGCATATTCGTGCCCCTGTTATTTTAAAACTTTATAAACTGTTTTGTACACAATTCTAATGTTTCTCCCTCTGCAGCCTATAATTACCCTGTGTGTTCATGTGTTTGCGTGTGTGTGGAAGGGGGAGCTCAACACTCAACAAGCAATAGATCTTGGAATAAAGACTTAATGCCTGCACTGAGTCTCTCCTAGGCAGCTAATTGTCTGAAGGGCACATGCAAGGCAACTCCAGCTGATCCTGTGCTCTGGGAAGTCAATAAGTAGAATTCTTAGCTTTCTCCCCTTCTCTCAGGGTTATTCCAGCAATTGAAGTGCATGCTAACAACCCCAAACCTGCAATTATTTTGCACTGACTGCCTGGTTTCTGTGCACTTGTTTTAAATCACTAGAAACCCAATCCAGGCACGAAAGAGAGGGGGAAGGAAAAGAAACTGGACAGCAAAGAGCAGCTTTTTGCCATGAGCTACAGCTGTTTAATATAGACCTTCCCTACAGAGCTGGTTCTCTAAGTAGCATGGCTTTTCTCACCTCCCAGAGGCTGCAACGGTGTAGGAAGAGAGAGTAAGCTGGAATCTGGCTCTTTTTCCATGGCTGCAGTGTGACCCACCCTCTGCTAACAGGAGTCACATGGAACCACAGCTCAGGGCAGTGATAGCAGTGAGTACGTGTGGAACGGAAGACTCTTGACAATTAAGATGCTGATAACCCTCCCTGGAACTCAGTCAACACGGCTAGTTATTCTTTTCTTTATCTTATTTCCTTTACCCCTTCCTTTAGGAAACAGAAAATTAGCACCTTGCACAAACTGCATTCGAAACCATGTTCTAATAAAGAACAATGGAAACAAAGCAATGCAGCTCCTACCTAGTGCATGACCTTCCTTGAACTAAAGATGCAAAAAAAAAAAAACCTACATGGAGATGAGGGCATTTGCTACCAAGTCTGAAGACCTGAGTTTGCTCCCTGGAGCCCACATGGTGGAATGAGGGAACTGACTTGAACAAGTTGTCTGCTGCCTCCCACCCCCATACTCTCACTATGACACATGCACAGTCCCTACCCCAAAGAAACAAATGTTCAAAAAAAAAGTATTAGTTGACTACTAATTAAATATCTGTGTGGCGTGTAATGTGATATTTTGGCATATGTGTGCATTGTGGGACAATTATATGAAGCTAGCTAATACAGCCATCGTATCTTTTTGATAGTGGGAACATTTGGCTTCAGCAAGTTTTGAAATATACAATAAATGTATTAGTGATAATTGTTACAACTAGCCCAGCTCCCGTGATGAACCTGACTGGGGTGGTGGGAGGACGAAGACAGGAAAGCAGATACAGGGACAGGAAGGTGGGGCTGAGTGAGCTGGGCTCCTGAAGGGGAAACCTTAGCATCCTGGGAGCTCACTATGTATGTTTTTTATACACATACAAACAAGGAGGCAGGGTTAATGGTGTGTGGCTGGATTGAGTTGACGGGCTCAGCTAACCTCAGTTGGAACAGTCTCTGAGGGGGAACATCATTGTAGTATTTGTATGTTTTGTTTTTTTTTAAACAGGATCTAGCTGTGCAGCTCATTCTGACCTCAAACTTTTAATTTCTTGTCTCAGCCTTCTGAGTGCTGGGATTACAGATACGAATGCGCCACCAGGCCCAGCTCACCCTATTGTTAGCAGCAGAGATCAGCTTGCTGCGTGGTACATCTAGAAGACTCATTCTTTCTGGGTAACTTTACTTTCTTTGGGGGGACCCATCCCCAGGAGGTTATGAGTTTGGCCACTCCTAAGCATATAAACCAAGTAGTAAAGACAAACTGAACTCTGGAACGTATCCATTTAGGGGGAACTCTTCTTGTGTCCCCCACCACTTCTCCAATGCACACATTGTAGTACTCTAGAACACGATGGGGGCCAGAGAGATAGCAAACTTCATGACATTAAAGGAAACATGGGGGAACTGGAAAGAAAGCTGAATGGTTAGGAGTGCCTGGGGCTTTTCCAGAAGACCCAAGTTCAGATTCCAGCATCTACATGGGACAGCTCCCAATTGTCTATTACTCCACACCAGCTGATCTAAGGACCTCTTCTGGACTTGGTGGGCATCTGTACACATGCATGCCTACCCCTCCCCATAGACACATAATTAAAAAACAAATACAAAAAAAAAAACCAACAATTGTAGGGTCAGCAGCTCAGTAGTAGAGTACTTGCCTAGCACGCATGAGACCTTAGTTCCATTCCCAGTATGACGCTGTTTTTTTTTTTTTTTAACAACCAAAGTCAATACTGTACATAGTCCGTTCTTCATTCAAGGGTGACCTTTGAGAACCTGTCATTCTCTCCCCAATGTCCAGCTCCAGAAGAAAATGAAGAGGGAAGAAAGAACCCTGGTAGAAAAAAGAAAGGCAAGACTTGACAGCAGAGACAAAGGCACCACGCTTGAGTTGGATGCTCTGTGGTGGCTGACATGCGCTTAGAGACTGGCGATTTGTCTGGAAAAAGGGTGGAAAATGGGATAAGTGGAAGGGGGTGGGGCTGAGTCTTTCATCCTCACACATGGCAAGTGAGCTTGAGGGATGGTGCTGCCCTCTCAAATTAAGACCAGGTCCAAGTTGCCTTTCCTCCAAACTCTAAGATGAAACCCCAAATGGGGGTGAGGTCACTTGGTGTGTGGGGTGTAGGGGATTTGTTTAGGGCAATCAACTCAAACTATGCATGTGGCATTCTGGTGGAAGTCATGTAGAAAATCAAAAGGAAGACTACCGAGACGTCAAGCCAATGAGCGAGCGTTTGGCTGTGTGAGCGTGCTGCAGCAAAATCTCAAGCTGAACTGGATCTCTTGTCTCCACAATACGGTTAAGGAGGTTCTGGATCACGGAGTCCTTAGTGCGGACAATTAGTGGTGAGACTTCCAGGGCCTGGCGTGGCATTGGCCCTGCTCTTTAAAGGTTCAGTGGCAGAGCATCTGTCTAGAGAGCACTGGGTCCTGGGCGTGAGTCACAGCGCCACAAAAGCAGATTAAGGCGGGATGGAGCCAGAATGCTCAGAGGGCCCCGCTGTCGCTAGCAGAAACAATTCTCTATGTTGTCTGTGAATTTGGGAAAATCCTGAGATTCTTGCCAGAGGTCTTGAGGTCAGAATGAGAATTTTGAGACATGATTTTTTTTTCTGCCTTGGGGATTACTTGTCCCAAGGATGTAGGAGCAAGCCTGGGAGAGCTGCATTTGCCTCAGAATGAACGAAGGAGGTGCCATGTCCAGTTTAAACATGCCAGCTTCGTTTAAAGCAGTGACAGAAAGGAGAAACAGCTTGTTTATAGGTACACAGCGAAAATTAGGGTCTGATGTGGAGGTCCTCAGACTTCTCACTGTAGCTTGTCTTCAAACTCTTCAAGATGGGCTGTACTGTTAAAGAGTGTCTCCGAGGACCTGGACATGTTGCTAAAAGATTTCTGCTTTCTCAACTACTTACTCATGTGAAGCCAGATTCTGTTATGATATGTCTACCTGAGTGGTATATCTCAGCCAAGCAGAGCAGACACTGCATGAGAATCGGCTCTGTCTGCTGTGGCAGCACACTCCTGTGGTCCTAGCATTGGGAAGACTGAGGCAGGAGGGCCTTAAGTTATAATGACCAGACCTGTCTCAACGAACAATGAACACAAATGAAAAAGCAATCCATTTTTTAACGTAAGATTTATTAATTTTACTTTATAAATATACTATTTATGAGTATTTTATATTTTAAAACATTTATAAAATGAAAATATTTATTCATTTTATTTTAAAA